ACCCAAGCTCAGTATTGGATGTTCAGCATACTGAGCTATACTTGAACACATGTGAGTAATACAGACACACCGCCAGGCCGTTTAATTAAATGGCTTCAATTTGAGCTAACCGCTTAAATTCATTTCCGGCTTCCAAGAACAAGCTGTGAGAGTGGCGGAAACATAATTCAGCCTCTCATTTAGTGCTAAAGTGCTAGCATCAAATACATGTGCACACACACACACACACCGGATGGTGGAAAGTACAGTTGGCTCTCAAGGGGAAATGTACAGAAGACGTCCCAGGATGCTGAACATCTGTTTAGCGTGCTGGACTCTTAGGCAGGTTACACACCACACTGCCGCAGCCATCTCTAGAGAATCCTGCTTTACCACATGACTGAGTTTCAGCTTGAGAATAAAATATCGACTATGAGAAGAAACCAAGGTTTGTACTGTAACATACTGTATATAGATTGAGCATCTCTTCAGTGCTTCTACTGAAAAAAGAAAAGGCGTTTGAAGCATAATTAAATAATTAATTCGCCTGAACATCATGTAATTCCAGTCCTTAACAATATAAATGAGCTGATATTGGAAATTTCAAATTTCTCCTATTTCTCTTATTTTTGTATTTATATAACCTAATTATCTATTTTTGGTGTTGTATATCAGGGGTGCCCAATCCTGTTCCTGGAGACCTTCTTGCAAAGTTCAGCTCCAAACCCGATTAAACACAACTGAACCAATTAACTGAGATCTTCATAATTACTTGATAATTACAGAAAGGTGTATTGGAGCAAGACTGGAACTGAACCAAATAAATCATGTTCATTTAAACTTTCTATAATCCTGAAAAAAAATATTATGGTTTCCAACAAAACAGTAAACAACTGCATATTGGAATGATTTTTGAAGGATCATGTGACACTGAAGACTGGAGTAATGGTTGCTGAAAATTCAGCTTTGCCATCACAGGAATAAATTACTTTGTAAATTAGATTAAAATCGAAAAACATTTTTTTAAACTGCAAAAATGTTTCACAATATTACTGTTTTAACTGTATTTTTGATTAAATAAATGCATCATTGGTGAGCAAAAGAGACTTTGGAACAGTTGTGTACAGTATATTGGTGTTACCCTACCTGTATGTTTTTTTTTTTATGACTTCAGTGAGTTACATGTTGGTCTTTTCCTCATACAGTGCTTAGCATTCAAGTCATATGGACTACTTTGATGGTGCTTTCATGTATATTTTGTGTTCATTTTAATGCTTTTAAAGCTTTAAAGCTCCAGTCCCCATTCCCCAGTTTTCTGAATTGTTCCTGTTGTGTTACACATAATGTAAGAAAGACAGTCATACGAGTTTGGAAAAACATGTGGTTCCATAAATGATAAAAAAAAAAACACTACTATTCCTTTAAATCTTGAAAGGCCACAGTACTGTATGATGCCTCCGTTTACTCTGAAGCATGGTCAAGATGAAGACTAATGAAGGGTGGGCTGTTTCCTTCTCAACATGTGGATGTTATTGGATGCAGGCTGGACTCTCTGTGAAATGTGGCTGGAAGGAGCTGGGTGGTGGTTAATAGAGATGTTATTGTGAGAAAATTGAGAAACGTTATTGAGAAATGTGCTGAAATGCCTTGAATCAAAGACATAAGAGCTCATAGGGTTCTTCAACCCAGAATTTGTGTCTGATATTAAGATAAAGGACGTGCTTGTTTTATCTCTATCATACTGAACCACTCTCTTCGCCCTTTGCCGAGACAGTGGCGTAGACCTGCATAGAGAGGCAGAGTGAAGGGAGGCGTAGGAGTGAGATACAAAAAGCAAGCAGAAACAACCCCCCGCCTTTCCTGACACCACTATTGTCTTTTCCGTGACAGAGTAAATTAGTGTGATCGTCTGCGTGCGCGTCTGAGCTATCATAAGCATATTAACACAGGCCCTGTGGGAAGTGCTGGTAATCAGGTCTGTTTGACAGAGCCAACAGGGGGAAGTCTCTAGAGTATCCATCCATCCCATGCGCTCCAATGTATATGATGCAGCTCTCTTTGCTAATGAATGCCTGTCTTCCTTTCTTATGCTGTACTGTATGTTTTTCTTTCTCACAGTTTATTTTGTCTCTTTGTTTTCTTGTTCTCACAAAGTCTTATACTCTTTAGCTTCTATATTTAGCTTCTTAGTGTGTATCCTCAAAAATTTTAACTGTTCTAGTAGAAATTGGTCGACTATATATGTTACTTATTATAACTACACAAACAAAAAACAAACAAATAAATTGTATTTAATATATTAAATACAATTTAATAATTATTTTATTAATTAAAATAATGTATATTTTATATAATATATTATATAAAGTTTTATATAATATAAAATAAATACATTTATTACATCTATACATCTATAAATTTATTTATTTAAATTTTTATTTATAATTATTATAAAATTAATTGTATAATTATTATTTAATAAAAACACTTTAAGTTCTTATATGAATAAATGTAAATATGTAATTATCGATTGTTTAAATTATTTTTAGAAGTGGTGGTTTAATTAGCATGCTGTGCTTTAGCTGTTATAAAGTTGTCTTTAAATTCATCTCTTGTAATGCACCATTGCTACAGTCATACGATGTTTGTGTTGTGTTTCACAATGTTTTTGGAGTGCCTTTCTATGAGCTTTGCATTTTTAAGAGGCTGTGTCAAGTTAAAGTTCGTTTAGAGAGTCGAATTCTGTCTTTTGAAAATATTTATTACACATCCATATAGTAAACGCAGTACATTTAGTTTAAACCTTTCTTTGTTTAGAATCTATTTTTGAAGCATTCAGTTTTAAATGCAGGTCAAATGTTTTGTGTCCTACATTATTCAAATGCATTTGTATCTTTATAGTATCTGCATTTAAAATCCCATCCGCACTGACCTGTGAACTACTTTTCGCAGCAAAATAATGGAAACGTAAACACACAGTCTGTGGGGTGCTTCATTCTTTACCTCTTGACTAAGATGAATTTAGCATTGGGTTTTAGGAACAGGTATAAATCATGATCCCCCCACCCCCCCAAACAATTTTTTTTTTTTTTAGTTCATGTTGAGGATGTGCTTCATGATTGTGAATTATTCTAAGCATCCATAAATGCTCATGGTAATTTAGAAAGAGCCTCAGAGAATCCACTTGTTTTCTAGTGTTTTCTTCCTTCCGTTCTTCCTGCTACATCTTATGAAAATCCTCTTTTCCTGCATATGCCTGTGGAATTTATTAGCAACCCACGCAGCTCATCTTTTCACACACTCAGAGCAAAAGGTCAAGTCGACCAATCTGCTCCAGAGAAGAGAGTGCCACATGCTGAATGAGTGTACTGGGCACTCTATACATTAGATACAAACACATTCAGCATTAAAAGAGCAAACATTTAAGAGAGACAGAGAGAGAGAGAGAGAGATTGGTCTCCATGCGTAATTGTAGACATATTTTCAGAAAATTACTGTACAGGAGAGATTGTATGGAAGCCCTTATATGGAGATGGTTTGGATATGTTGTATGCTAATTACTTTGGACACGCCCTCCTTCATTTATATTTAATGTTGATTCATTAACATTAGTTTGAACAAGTGTGTTTTTTTTTTACTCTCTCTCTCCTCTTTCTCTGTGCAAACTTTCTCTGTGCACAAATTAAATGAGACACACCTAACTTTTGTATGAAAGCCTGTTAACACCATGGTTAAAAAATAAAAGAAGGTAATTGTGACTTTTTATGCCATAATTTAGACATAAACCCATAATTGCAAGATATAAACTCAGAATTCTGACTTTTTTTCTTGCGATTTACATTTCCAAAATCATTTTTCTTTCTGATTTTTTTTTTCTTAAAAATCTGAGTTTACATCTCGCAATTCAGTTTTTTTCCCACCACAAAGTAAAAAATAAAATAGTAATTGTAACTTTCTCACAATTTTGACTCAATTCTGAGTTTATTTCTCACAATTTAGACTTTTATTCTTATTCTTACATGTTGCCAGTTTACATCACACAATTGTGAGTTGCAATTCTGAGTTTATATCTTCCAATTCTGCGTTTATATCTCAATTCTGAATTGCAATAAATAATTCTGAATTTTGATTTCTAAGATTTAAACTCAAAATTGCAAGAATAAATTCTCAATTGCGAGATAGCCACAACAGTTTTTTTTTTTTAATCTTGTGACAGAAATAATTTTCATACTTTTGAGTTTGTTCTTTCCAATTAAATAAATAAATAAAAACATATGAATATTTCAGTATTGAGTGCAGCTAACTGGAATTAACCAGAAACACTCCTATATGTTTAGGTTGAGGTGTCAAAAAGAGTTAACCCCTGGGATTAACTTGGTTTGTTCTGGCACTCATGACACACACCGAATGTGCTCATTTAAAGACTTCAGCAATGTAGACAGGGAATTAGCCATTTTCCACTAAACTTCACTTTTTGGGGGCAGGTAGCCTCCTCTGAGCGAGGAGGAGTTGAAATATATGCTCTCATGAGTGTGTGTTCACATTATGAGGGATTTTCATGTGCCCTGAAGACTAGGCCAGATATAATAAACACTTTGGTGACAGGTCTCTGTTGGCTTATGTAGGTTTACTCAGGAGATACTACAAGATGAGGTTTGTAGCAGCACATTTAAAATGTTCCTCACACAAGAATGGAAAGATTTACATTTAATTTCAGGATAAGACAAAGCTCAGTGGAGAGATTGTGTAAATGTAAAACAGCGCTAATAGTATGTGTGGGCTTTCGCATTTGTGATTGTACAACCTTATGCGTCATTTCCATACTAATAAATGATGGATTAAAAAATATATATATTATTATTAAATATATTAATACATATAAATTATTAGTTATTAGTGTACTGTATCATGTTACTGTTGCTACCACTTCTTGAAAGCATATTAACCATAACCTCTAGATACATGGCCTCTGTTATCCTATTTCTTTAAAATATGATATGTTTTGTCATATGTCTGTCCAGAACCTGATGATGATGAGAAGAAGGTGAAGACACAAAGACCGCGATCAGCTGACCAGCCGAGTGTGTTCCAGGCCCAAACAGGTGAGTCCCATCTCCTTTCATTATTTAGTTGAATTGCATTTCAGAACCATGGACAGCGTTTTGATGTTTTTTTTTTTTTTAAGAGAAAAATAAGTCTGAAAATACACTGAACAAAATTATAAATGCAACACTTTTGTTTTTGCCCCCATTTTTCATGAGCTGAACTCAAAGATCTAAGACTTTTTCTATGTACACAAAAGGCCTATTTCTCTCAAATATTGTTCACAAATCTGTCTAAATCTGTGTTAGTGAGCA